TGCTGGGCATGCTGGGCCCGCATTAAACTCCACAGGAAAACTGAGCGGTCCCACTTCTGAAATGCCCGGATCCCCACGACAGGGGCCCAGGCTTTCACGTGTCCTCAGATGGGGACGGGACCACTGCACCCCTCCACGGACCTGCCAGGCTGCAGCGAGGCTCTGAGCCCCTTCCTGGTTCACACCTCCAGCTGTGCAGCCTCAGGGACAAGGTCTCTGTTGCGGGAACGGTGTCTTGTTTTCATGTGTCCCACTTTCCGGCGTCACCTCCCGACTGAGCCTGGTGTTCCCTGGGTGGCCTCACGTGGCACATGGTGTGTCCCCTCCTGCGAGTGACCAACTATCTTCTCAGTGGCGGGCGTCTCCTAATCTGTAGACCTCTTCATGCCTGAAAAAGCCTAAAACCTACCATTCGGCCCTAAAAAAGAATGAAATGTTGCCGTTTACCACAACATGAATGGGCTTTGAAGGCATTACGCTAAGTGAAATGTCAAAGACAAATACCGCATGGTCTCACTTTTGTGTGGAACCCAAGAAACAAACACAAAAACCAACCAACAGAACCCAGCACCCAAGCTCTCGATCCCCGCGGTTACCCCCGTGGCTGAGGACACCCCTCCAGCGGGGAACCCACATGCCATTCAGGTCTAGATTCTCGGCAGGGACTCAACGTCTAGGAGCTCAAGGCGCACCTTCCGGCAGGGCCGTTTCTGCGTCCGGGCCCCTCGGACCACACGGAAACCACTTAGAGGGTCTACCTTCCTTTCAGAGCTTCTGTCTGGGAAGGACATGGCTGCTTCCTTCTTACCTTCAGGAACGAAGGTTAAAACAGACTTTCCTTTTCAAAAGTCCTCACGATCACGGCGCATCAAGGGAGGTGCAGAGTTGGGCCCGATCCCAGAGTGCCGGGCCGGGGCGTGGATACATAGATAGGTGCACGGTCTACGTGTGCATACAGGGCAGGTGACAGCCTCTTTGAGTTCAAGCTAACACCAGCTGCCACTGGACAGTGTGGACGCGTTGCCCCGGTTCTGTCCGATCTTGCCTCCGTCCGACAGCGGTGTGGACAGAGAGAGCCCTTGGAGAACACACATCTCACCACTGTGTATTTGGAGAAACCTCTAACTGGGGAGAGCGTCTAATTCACGAGAAATTTTCAGCTGTGGCTTGGAGACTTAACCTGTGTGTAAATTGTCCTTACAGGGGAAGCTCCAAATTCAAGGTGGGGAGCATCTGACCCCAGACTCAGAAATCCTGAGATGCAATTCGTCAGTCCCAGATGCTCTGTTCTGCATTGTGGACCTGGGCCATGTCGGTGACGGTGGCCGACCGTGACCCACATTCCGGACCCGCGCACCTCCCTGGCTCCAGGCCGATGTTGCCTGATGCGCAGAAGCAAACCGGCTGCTCTCCCACGTCCCTGTGTGAGGCACGCAAGCGTGGATCTCAGCTCACGCGAATTACGGCACCAGGCAGGTGAGAGTTGCTCTCAGCTCCGTGTGAGTTGAGAGCCGGGGGGCTGGGATGTTCACACAGAGCAGCTCGGGGAGCAGACAGCTTGCCCGGCGCCTGGCCCGCCCTGGGAGGAGGCAAAGGGCTAGGAGGGCCGCCTCACGACGCGTTTTTAAAAAAAAATTATTTATTATTTTTTGAATTTATTGCCAAGTTGGCCAACACACAGGGTGTCCAGTGTGCCCTCGTCAAAACGCGCTTTTATAGTTCTGCTTCATCCAGTCCACCCGTGGGAGAGACCGACCAAAAACCAAAACACAAGAAGAAGAAAAGCACATCCCTTGTTTTCAACCTTCCCTGTGCTTCCGTCCTCCCTGCCCTGGTTTCCAGCACTTTGGCCACGGAGCTGGGCTCTGGGCTAAGGAAGTTCAAGTCAGGAGGGGAGTGTGTCACTTAGGGCAGGACACTGAACGTGGCAGTGGTAACAGCGAGGGCCCGACCCCTCCGCTAGTCCCTTAGCGCCTCACGAAGAGGGGGAAGGGAGGGTCAGCCCCACGGTCCGCGGCCGCATCGGCCTGGTCTCCCAGCCTGCTCCCCGGACAGGCCGTCCAGGGCATCGGCCACCGTTCCTGCTCTGGGGAAAAGCAGCGACGGACAGAACGAGTGCACCACGCGGTCTCTGCACGGCAGGGCCACACTCGGGCGCCGCTTTCAGTCTAGCAAGCGGAAGCTGTGAAGCAAAGAATCGTCTCGAGGCCATCTCAGTTTAGCATTTTCACACGGGACCGAAGCCAGGCGCAGCTTCTCCGTTGAAAAGTCGGGGCTCTCCTGCCCTCTGAGAGTAATTCCGTGGTAATTTTTCACTTTGCACAAGAAAATGGATCATCTGTTTTCCCTTCGCGTTTGCACGGTTATTTTCTCTGGGAAGACTGTTTTGCAAACGGCGAGTTAAAACGATGGTCAACGCAAGCCAGCGCACAAGGACGGGGGAATGAGGCGGCAGGGGCCTGAGCTCAGCTTTCCTCCTGCCCGCACTCCTCCCGTCCTCCTAAACCAGGCATGACGCTTCTCTTCCTGAATAGTCAGCGGCCAGTTTTTAGTTGCAACCGAACTTCTCTGCGACACCTGACGCCGGCCTGACCGTTGCTGGCCAGGGCCATGTGCCAAGTGCATCCCAACTGACCGACGTTAAACTAAGGGAAAGCAACACTGGAAGGCCGGCCTGCCGGGTCCAGCCACACCCTGCGAGCAAGCAGCCGTGGTTCCTGGATTATCCAGCCCCTGCTTGGTGTACCTGGGGTGGGCCGGGAACCAGCCACATCCTCGGTTCCGGGCTGGCACGTGACCCCAACAGGAACGTCGTCACTGTCGTTGAGCTTTATGGGAAGATTCCAGACCCTTCCTGGTAGTCGGTCCGCTTCTCTCTCAGTCTTGGGATTTTCTGGGAGTCCAGAGGGCTCTCTGGGACAGGGCGCTCCTGATCTGCTCCCTTGCGGTCCCAGCACCTGGCTTCACTGGTCCCCGAACGTGTGCACCTGACGGGGACCCAGAATCGAGGTGCGGGTCCTAGACGACCTGAGACGTCAGTCTGCTCTCCGCCCCCAAGGTATCTTTCTTTTAGGGACGTGTGAAAAATGGCAGACTGTTTGTGTCCCACCTTCCCAAACTGTTATGGCAAAGCCCCAACCCCCAACGCGGTGGTACGTAGAGGTGAGGCATTCGGGAGCTGATTAGGTCATAAGGGCCGCGCCCTCATGAACAGGATCCCTGCCCTTCAGAGAGTCACCAGAGACCTCCCTTGTCCCTTCCACTGTGTGAGGACACAGCAAAAAGCCATTTACAAACCAGGAGGCAGGACATCACAGACACCGAATCTGCCAGCCCCTTGATCTTGGACTTCGGGCCTCCAGGGCTGTGAGAAAATGCTTAAGCACCAACCCCCCCCCCCCCCCACACAAGTCTATGGTGCTTTTGTTATAGCAGCGTTCAGGGACTAAGACAGAAATCCTATCTTCATATGTATTCGTGAACGTATTCACAAAACAAACACCAAAGCCCACATGTCCTGAGGGAAATGCACTGGCCTTCAGCTCAGCAGATACCCCGTGTTCCTGAACTTGGTTAAGGGATCCAGGACGCGGAGGACTGTGGGGGCTCGGTTTCTCCGGGAAGCAGAGGCCGAGGTGGGACTAGACTGTGGGGATTTTTGTGCCGGGGAAGCGTCTGTGGGGGACGCGTGCGTGGGAGCAGCGGGCGAGGCCGGCACCCACAGACCAGGCTGCTGGCGACCACCTGGGGAAGGCGAGGGACAGGCGGCCTGGATGGAAGGGGCTTCTGCTGCTCTCAGTCCCGGTCAGGCCAAGGGAAGGCTGCCCAGTAGAGGCCGGGGGCGAGGGTGTCACGCTTTTGGCACGAGGGCCGGCTGGGCCCGCAGGGGTAGCAGGTGCAGGCAGCCAGACCCCCACAGCGCTTTCCCTTGAAGGGGCATCTCAACAGGTATGTCCTGATCATCAGCACGAGGGGAAATGGAGTCTCGCTCAGCCGCTCGCCTCCCTGGGCCACAGGGCTTATCTGTATACACTCCATGTCTTACAGTATTGCTCAAAAACACGCACGGGCTCCTGCCACATACCGTCGAGTTCCAACTCCAAGGCCAGTGACCATGCGGCCTTTTCCCGATGCAAGAATCCAGAGAGAGATCTCAGGTGGGGTCCTCACCACATGCTGCTCCAGGTGAAAGGGACCTTGCTCGCTCGGAGATGAGCACATTCTGCTGTCTCCCCACTGACGCCTATGGCCTGACGTGGGTCACATCACACATTTATGGGGGACGCTACTACGAACCAGACCAAGTCCCTGTACGTGCGAAGGTATTGCTTCAAGGCCCTGCACAAACGTCCCCTCCTCTGAGGCCTCAGCCTCACAGACAGAACTAATGCCCCCTTCCCACTGCAATCCGCTGACCACGAACGCAGGCTCTGTCGTGCTGCCTATGGTGTTAACTCACCGAGTCCCATCTCTGCCCGCGTGTTTCTCCAGCTCACACATCCAGCAGAGGCGTCTGTTCCTATGGGCGTGTAAGACATTATGACATTTATGTGGAAGGAACAATCTGTGTCTTCATAGAATCTCATGCAATGGCAACAAACCACTCAGTCCACATTTACTGGCACTCAGTCTGTGTAGGGGTGTGTGTGTGTGTGTGTGTGTGTGGTGGGAAAGAGTCATGTCACACACGCCCCGACTCCTATAATTCTTCTTTCCAACCGTCAACCGCACTGCTTGTGAATTCAAAACGCCATTCACGCTTGCACCCCTTTTAGGGCCCTTGATCTGAGGGAACGGGGAATGTATCAAACTCACAGACTCTTGATTAATTTCCTCTTCTTCGCAAAGGTGAGAGCGGACATTGGATTAGCGAGTTACATCTATTTTGAATATAACAGGTTTGATTATCTGGGGTCTGTGATCATTCTGGATTTTAGAAACACGAAGTTCATTACCACGAGCCAATCCTACATTTACGAAAGAACCAGAGAAGGCCAAAATTCCACTTGTAAAATCATTTTATTGGTATAAATATACATATGAATAAAATACCTCAGCCTGTAATGTAAGTGAATATTTGTGAAATGTCTTAAAAAGAGTAGTGTTTTGATTTTTTTTACAGGTGTCAAAGTATTCTTAAAATCATACATTAAAAGCTAATATGCAGACAGAAATTATAGGCCTTCAAAAAACATGAATATTCATAAAACCTCATTCCGATCAACTATGTACATGAATCCGGGCACATGGTAAGATCAGCCGTGGGCCTCTTTCACCCTGTTCTTAACTGGGCTCCTGGATGCTATCGCGAAGGTCACCGACCAAACTTACGTGGACAGTTCCACATCAGGAAGGAAGAAGTTCCCCAGGGGAGAACGTAAAAACCATAGCCAAGATCTAATATATATAATTTATACAAATTATTTATTAGTGTGCTCTGTTAATATACTTACAATGTGCAATTGCATACATCAAGAATAAATCGCTCTCTCGAGTCAAGTGCAGATCTGACACGGGTCCATGCAGCGGTACCCCACCGTCAGCCGATGGTGATGCTCGTGTGAGGATGTGTCCAGGTGCTTGGATTACTTCCCCAAACTCCTCTCGCGGGGCACGCTGTCGCTGCCTCCGAGAAATTCCAGTAGGGCCCATGGAATAATTGCTGGCTTTCACTAAAAGCATATGGAGGAATGCTTCGGAATCAAATGCCGAGGGTCGGGAGAAGACGAAACAAATGTACTTTGATCACCAAAAAACCCAAATGGGTCTGTTTGTTTTCAAAAGGCAAGTAAAGAAAAGAAGGGAAAGGAAAAGACCACCGAGAGAAGAACTCAGGAGGAAGCGTTGCCCTTGACTGCTCTCCAACGGCTAACAAAGCAGCCCTGCACTGAGACTTGTGCACCGGGGACCTTTACACAAAAATAAACTCTCTCTCCGCTTCTTCCCCAGAGTCGCTAGATTTGCCGCCTCGGTGGCCGTCTCTACTGGAGGACCACGGCTTCTGTTCTGGATACTCCTGGGCCTGCTGGCCCCAGCTTCTCCTTGCAACTGGAATGGAAAGGGGAAGATGTCATTACGGTTGGCAGGGTACAATCGACGGCCTGACCGATCGTGGGGGGAGATGCAGGGGCCCTGAGGGGCGGGAGGAACTTGCTAGAAACGACTTACCAGCTATGTTTAGAGACTCGAGGCAGAAATGAGAAACAAACCAACAAAAACAGAAGCAAATCAAAATGAGAAAACACAAAAGCAGGCCATGAGAGGGCAAAGCTCTCACGGCCGTGGTTGAGAATCTGGGGGTGCTACGGATAGGGGAACTGATGGGGGGCCCTCCGACCCCTCACGCACAGCCGCCCCTCGTGCGGCCAAGGCAACAGGACAGACAGAGCCTGGCAGAGGCGCCGCTGGACAGATGTCCCACCTGATGCCTTCTGCCACCCTCTAGACCTGGCTTTCTCTGCTCTGGGGCCACGACATGAGGAAGGACCCAGCAAACCTCAGTTCCTCGCGCTAGGAAGTGAATGCTTCAAAGCCTTGTGAGAACAAATGAATACTGCCTCGGGTGCGGTCAGTCCTCTTGGAACCAGCCTCCAGGTGACAGAACTGTCATCATGGCTGCCTGCTCTGATCCCATATAAATATGAAGGACCCCCCCCCCCCCCCCCGCGACTTCGCACAGCCCTGAAGGGAGGGGTGGAGAATTACTGGGCTGGAGCCTTTGTTATGTGTCCCGTCGGGCATGCGTGCTTCAGGACTGAGACACCTCACAACGCCCTGGCGGGGAGGTCTTGTAAAACGTGGAATTTGGATTTAAACGAGACCTCTCCCTGCAAAGTGCATGTTCTTGACGACTAGATCAGAGCTTCGCGGGTACCGTACTTCAGGGCGATTAAGGCTTATTACATATTACTCACCAAATCTTTTGTATAGATACCACTTAAGCCAAAAATATCAAGCCCTACACTTTGTGTGGCTTGAAAGCAGACGAAAGCTACCTCGTCACTCAGAAGTTCAAATGATCCAACTAGGAACACAGGCCTGGAAAGCGACAGGATCCCGCTGATGCTTCTAATGACCTTGACTTTGGCAATTATGCTAAAAACTCCTCTGGCCAGGAACTGGCTATTCAAATGCTTAATCCATTAAAGAGCGGTTCAGGAAGTAAAAGCTCCTGAAACCTGATAGTTAAAATGCAAACATAATAAAGTATTTCTCTTGCCAATCTGGTTGTGGGGCCAGATTCTGATCTCTAGACAATAAAAACTTAAATGTAGTTAATTACATTAAATGGAAACCATCCACCCTTCTCAAGAGGATAAACTTCTCAAATCTCATTGTAAAAATAAGTAATTTTTTAAAAGCCTGACCTCTTTTTGCCTAACGCCTTGGAGCAAATTCTCAGATGGAAGGGAAAAGCAAACAATATTACAACTGATTTTATTTTTTCGCTTGAGTCGTGTAAAAAAATAATAAACGTCCTTTGAAAGTTGTCAGCCAATCAGGTCTGGGGGCAAAGGTAAATAATTTTCTCAAAATGGCTTGTTTTTTAACACAAAATCCATTTGAGAGTAATCTACAAAGAACTCTCTAAGTTTTCAGCTTCTGCATGTGCTACAACCAGGAGGAAGGACAGCAGATTTCTCATCATCTCCAAGCCACTTTGCAATAATCTGACCTCAAAGTAGAGCACTGCTAGTGAAATCTTGCTAGAAAAATTTATTCATTCCCTTTTAAAACCAACATGAGCTGTTCCTGTGTATCAAGTGACTCAAAAACAAATTTCCGACGCTACAGGGTCAAAAGAAGAACCCAAAATGGTGATATACTGCTTATTTGACTTCAGAGCAACCACGTTGGCTCTAATTCTTAGATTCAAAAGCTTTCCATTCCGCCAGTATTTTAGCTTCCTCAAAATCCCAGGGCCTCATTCATGGTCTGTGAAATCAGAGGACTCTCTAAAAATGGACACATTCACGCCATCCAAAATGTTTATGTCGCAGGTAAGAAACAAAAGCACCCTGGATGGACCCAGGTCGCTGGAGCGCAGCTAACTGAAATTCAGAGAGATCTCACATAGCGGTCTTCCGGCAGAAAGCAGACCGTCCTTCAATCTGCATCGTTAACAAGTTAACAGACTGGTTTCTGGGTCGGTGACATACACCCAATACGAGTCACGAAGGCACAAATTTTAATGCGTCCAACATAGTCACTGAGAGGAATAATAATATGGCCTTTCTAGAGGCCCCACAAAGCACTTCACTAAGGCACTGACGCTATTTAAAAATTCACTGATTAAACTCTTGTGGATGTGAGCGGGATCCCGAGACTAGTCCCAGGCTGCCATTTCCTTAGCGTTACAAGGAGGTGCGTGAGTGGACAGGAGACCGAGGCAGGTGAGATCAGGGACCTAAAATCACACCAGCGGCCAATGCACTCGCTCTCCCAGGCTCCCACCTTCTCATTAGTCCAGATCGCTGGTAGGAACAACTTTGTAGGGGGAATGTTCTTTGTTAAGTTAGTTTTCCAGTCCTTAGGCAGCATCTATTTGACTGCAGATAATTAGGATGCTAATTACAATTATATTGAAGTAGGTTTGGTCAAGCTCCCACTGACGAACAGTCCCAATAAGATTACGTCTGCTTGAAACTTAAAACTCTAGAAGTTATTCTAAAATATAAGATTCAGGGGGCGCCTGTGTGGCTCAGTTGGTTCAGCATCCGACTCTTGATTTCTGCTCAGGTCACGATCTCACAGTTTGTGGATTTGAGCCCCATGTCAGGCTCTGTGCTGACTGCACAGAGCCTGCTTGGGATTCTCTCTCTTCCTCTCTCTCTGCCCCTCCCCTGCTGGCATGCTCTTTCTCTCTCAAAACAAACAAACAAACAAACAAACATTTACAAAATAAATAAGTGGAATATAAAATTCAGGCTTTTTACTAATTCAGATGAACCTTCTCCTGAGCAGCCTGACTTAATGGTTGACTTTATACAGGATAAAGAAAGTCAGGTTGCCTTACTACACGTCCTCAATGCAAGTATTCACACCGTTAACGTGCTGGGGCGTCTCTGTGCGTCTGTAGATGTGTTTGGTGCCATCCCACAAACCATTAAAATGATAAAAAAAAAAAGTGCTTAAGTCAACAGGCTATTCAACATAAACACTGTGTGTATACTCACATCCCGTCTACGGTGGCAAAGATTGGTGCAGGAAGGATTAAACGTGAAATCTGTCATTCTGGAAGATGATTTGACTTTGCATATATACATGTATCATATACACACAGACACACGTGCTAATTTTAAAGCTTCCGAAATGTGCACATGAATTCGGAATTAGAGATGCATTTGAAAATTTGAGCTCTTCTCCATTTTAAGTCCCACCGACATCCATCTTTCCCACCAGGAAAACGTGAGGACCTTAAAAATAATATTCGGTAGCCAGCCCTGATGTTTTTATACTTTCTTGGCAGGAGCCAAAACTGCTGACCAATGGTTAAATTTCTTTTGAAGAACTCATACCGGGGTAGCAGAATCCAGATCTGGTGAAAAAAAGTAGGACACAGCACTGGCTGACAGACCGTAAGCCACAGCCAGATATTTTGCTGGTTATAGGTTGGATTATGGAAGAAGCAAGTGACATATAAAAGACATCTCAGAGTAAGATGGCCCGAACAAGCAGGGTACATCATAATATATACAAAGCCAAACCAACTATTTTCTTCAAGAAAACGGGACATACTCGAATGAAAACATCACAGCTTATAATTAAATGCAAGACGGGAAAGGGCACGAGATTCAGAAGTTACAGATATTTCCAGTAAAAGAAAGCAAGCATTTTACCTGTCCGGTCAATACTAAAATAGCCACACAATTAAAACAACAACCACGATAAAAATATGCAGCATGCTTTGAGAACAACAGCTTCTGTTTGTCACACGGATACACGATTTAGGAAAATAAGAAAGCTGTTTTAGCTTACACGAAGCCGCTCCTGAAAGATTTAAAGGAAAGTACACAGCACGGGCTAACAGAATTGCTCTGCTAAATGCCGTTTGTTAACCGGGAACTATTCAGAAAGCAGACTGCTTTGGAATTCTCAAGGATGAAGACAGGCAGGTGGGGGAATCGGCACTAACAAAACAGTATTAAAATATGTGACATAAAATTACTTTAATTGAAGCTCCTGTAAAAACTACTTTTTTGGTTCCTGTTGCTATTTCCAGAAATCAGGGCAGAAAAGCAAACACAAGATGGTCCTGTTTAATTCCATCACACTGATACAGCCCATCGGAGGGAGAACTGTAAGTCCAAGAGGTCGTGGAAAAATCTGAGCCAGGCACAGAACTTCTTGCCTTCCTACGATCTGGCTTATTCCTGTGGCCAACCTTTTTGTCCTATCTCAAAGCCTTCCTGCAGGACTGGTGTGGTCCTGGGGCTGGTCTCCTTGTGTGTTACATGAAGCACTTTCAGCGGCTTCTGGGAAGAAGGAACACTGTGCTCCATCAAGGTGCTTTGTTAGGTAACCAAGTGATAGAAGTCACCCTACACGATAGTTCAAATGTAAATTTCCCAAATCTAGAAACATCTATGTGACCTTCTCAAAAGGGGCAATACAGAGATAGGGCTTCTGATTTAATACGCTCTACAAATAACCCGGCCTCTCTTCAGAAAACAAATGTCTTTAAGTGTTCGTTTATGTGACTTTTCTGTCACTTGAAGATAACAGGTTTTTCTGAAAATATCAGAGAAAATCTCTTAGGAGACGTATTGTAAGCACGTGTCTGTAAACGAGTCTACCACGCAGGAAATCCGGGTGCGTGTGTTCCAACCAAACTTTATTTACAAAACCCAAGTGGGTCATCGCGTTCGTTTGTTTCTTACAGGGTCAAACATAGGATTCCTCGGTAGTGTCCGTGACATCACTGGTATTTATTGATTTTAAATTTTTAATTGAAGTCTGGTTGCCATATAACATTACGTTTGTTTTAGGGAGTCCTTTAAAAAAGTGAAGGGCCAAGTCAGTTGTTTTTTCTCCGGCAGGCGCTACCAGGCCCAACCAGAATGTTCATCTGTGACCTATAGACTTCACTCTGTGCTGTGGGGCGTGTCCTTAACCCCACCAGCTCCACCCCATTAGCTAGCGGTGGGGGGGGGGGGGGGGGGGCGTAGATCGCCAGGCAGGTCGGAGTGCACAACTCATCCAACGGTACTGGCCAAGAAAGCTGGCCCCAAATGTTGCCCGAGGGAGACAGCAGATGCCTTCTGGCTGCTGTTTTGGTTTGTAAACCTCTGTCCGGGAAAGTCCTCAAAGACAACAGTTCCCACCGGAGGCGCCGTAATGCAGCCGGTTGTGAAGCCGTAAGGTGGGTCTCGTAGGAGGTGTGTTATCCGTAACAAGGTGCGGAAGTTTCAGAATGCTTTATCCTTTTGCAAGAAAGAGAAGTTATTCCTATAATCAGGTCACTTCCATTAACTTGCCATGTGGGGCGCTTTCTCAGAAGGCCGTGACAGGCACGGAGTTGCAGCTAGAATTCTGGGCCACATACTTCATCCTTGGGAGCCTAAATACACTCACGTATTAACCCCTGACAGGTTTACCGGAAGAAAAGTGCCCTGTTTCAAGGGAAAAAGTACTTTAAAGCCATCTCACATATCAGAATATTCTACCTCTTTTTTTTTCCCTTTTATGGTACTAAGACTTCCTTTCAAAGATTTTCAAGTCGGATTTATAAAGAAAGTTATTAACCAGCAAGATCAGAAGTGCGGAGTCACAGGAAAGACATTTCCTCTCTGAATCAGCGAGGCTTGCTCTAACATTTCCCACTGGAGTTCGAAGCCAATTTGAAATCGACAGTTTGAAATTGACAAAGCCTTTTTTGTCTCCTGGGACGGTCTTCACCTGAACGGAACACGACAGAACTCACCACCGTGTCTCGCGGAAGGCAGATGGCAAAAAGCAACGGCTGTAAAATAGAATCAACTGTCCTTAGAGGTTGAGACCCTTAACTGGTACTTTTCCTTTCTCACTGAAGGGTCATAAAAAGTCCAATGAAAGGTCGCGGGCATTTCACTGATCCTTTCCTAAAACAGCGTCAGGTAAGGTGTTGGGCCAATACCTTCTAAAGGCAGAAACTGCACTCTAAGAATTTCTTCCCCAATCCCAATTACAGTCGAACAGAAGAGTATAGCGAGACCAAGAGAACAGGAGGCATGACCCACGTGTAAACCCACAGGATCACGAAAAGTGGAGGGGACAAATCACCCCACGCCAGAGTAACTCGATCCTCCTTGGTCGAGTTTGAAAGTTTAGATTTTGAAGTCGATACTCTTTGCCCCAAAGGGAAGGACCATCCTGTTGCCATTTAGAAAACCAACATGGGTTGTAGGAATAATCCCCGAGCCGGTCCCGGGATAGAAGTTACTCAATTAAAGTTTGTTTTTGTTAGTGCCAATTCATAAGCTTTGGGTCAGTGAAGGGATGATAAGCGAAGGCTCTAACCATTTGTTGGCTGTGACTTCCTGTGCCCAACTGCCTTCACCTCCTCTTCTGCAATCGTGGAGTACAGTTTTGAAGATCTTTTCCCTCCACTGGAAGGCTTGCCAGTGTCATGATCTGAATGTCTTTTGTAATAATCTCCTCTTTGCACTACTGAGGAAAAGGGATTCGTTTTACCCTTTACATTAGCAAATACATCGATGTGTTGACATTAATATTAAAGACTATTAAGAATTAAATATCCGAGAACCCGCCCCACTTAGGCTTTCGGGAACCTACAGCATTGGTCCCGCACACACCATCATCTACAGAATTCAACAGCCAACATTATGGAAATGTGGTGCAAAATGAGGTGAGCTCCGAGTCTGCCCCCAAAAAGGTGCTAACAAAAGGCCCCCGCGGTATCGCTTTGATTCCAGGATGGATTAACGAAAATCACATTCACTATGGAATAATCCAGAAGAATCAGAGCCATTTACCTGTTTCAGAAATGAGTTGGGCACGCTAGTCCAAAGGGAGGCACAGAACAAGGAAATGAAGTAACCAGCATGAATAACGTACAAGAAAATAGGAAGGAGCACATCAGGAACGTTTTCTAAAGAAAAAGACAGGGCTCACAAGTGGCTGTCATCCCCGGGCCGGCGCTGCCGATGAGCTAATAAACTGAAGTCAGAGTCTTAGCACCTTGGACATTTACAGGCTGTTCTCAGACGGCATGTATATTTCAACTCCATTTCAATACCAAGTGACACCACCAGGATGATCTCTGTGCTTAACTTATTGTGGATCCCAGGGGCAAGCTCTACAGTCCCCACCTAGAAAGACGGGGGCACGAATCATCCATGGTGTTTGCCCTCAAGGGAGAACGAGGAAAGGAGTCACACATCTACCCCAGAGCTCGGAAATGTCTGAGGAGCAACTTAGTTTCTCAGGAAAGAACACAGGACTTTTCCAAAGCAGCTAAGGGTCTGCCAGTGGCTTCCACTCTTCACCCTCCGTGGCACCCCTTCGTACTCAGGGGGCTGGTGGGTTACTCGAGCCCTTGTTTGTAATCATATAGGCATCTAGAAAACCTCGCTTTTCATAAACGTTAAGCAATCTTCAAAACCTCCTTGTAAGTAAAGACACAAAGCAGTTGCAGAAAGAAGGGGAAATGAAGGCAGAGTGGGGGAGGGGCTGGCTCAAGTCGGTCTGACTCGGAGGTTCCTTTTTCTACACCAAGACTCGCGAAGGCTGTGGCTCTAACGCCAGACCCTCTATTTACGCATTCCGTGTAAAGTAACTGTAGGCGCTAGCTATCTTTCACGGCTTTGGCTGCTCAGTTTGACATGAGTGGTTTATCGGCTTTGGTCAAATCCCTACCTCCTTTTATTTACAGCTAATAGGTGAGGGAAGCTTGGACCCACCAAATGAATCTGCAGGATGGAGAGGAGAAAGCAGGCAGTGTTATTTTTTTTTGTTGCTAATCATTTATTTTTATTATTCTCCTAAGTCACAAAGATAGTAGCCAGAAATACTCTCCATTAACTTCAACACAAGACTGCCATTAATAAAACAGGCCAGTGGAGGAAGATGTCAAAGCCAGAAAGGTCAAGGAATTCTAAAAGCATCAAACATCTAAAATAAAACAAAGGCAGCCTCAAACCATAATGAGAGCCATCTGGTCATGGGTAATGACTCGTGGGGCTCCGGAATTTCTTCATCAGCGGGGCTTAGAGATGGCAATTATACTTTATGGAGGGTAGAACCCAAAAGTCAACAGTGTATTTAACAGAGCGTGGGAGGTGGGTGACAGAAATGCAGGGGTGCTGAGGCCACCCTCCACTCATAACTCTTGATCTGATTCTGGGAGATGGGCACCCACGTCCCAGGATTATCTTGCTCTGCTCCCAGCAGATTAAGAGGAGCAAAGCTGGCCCAATGACGCCCTGAAAGCGTCCAGGCAGGTGCCTGGGGAATAAGGCATGTCTGACTTCATGACTAAGCGAGTGTAATGAGCTACGAGTCTCCCCCCCCCCCCCCCCACCCCCAGCCTGCGGGGGCTGCTTATGAAGCACAGTGATGGTAATTCACAACCGGGGAAGAGTTCTGGGAAATAGTGAGACCTAGAAGCCTGTAAGCGGCACCCAATGAGTCACAAAATATTTAAGGCACTCCGCACCTGCTGGGAGCCAGTTCAGGAGCGCCTAGTGATTACAAAGAAGGTAAACCTTGGGTTGGGATGTCTGCTACGCTTTCATTCTGTGTATACGGTCCTCTGTGAAGATCCAATGTCATCGATAAGGTTGAATCAAGCTTCTGAACTAGGAAACTGCTCTGGTCCCAGAAGTTTAGTCCAAGGAATGCTGATTTAAACTCTAGGATACTCGTCAAGACCAGGGTTAATTCCCTTCTCTTGAAAGGACTCTCCTTGGAGACAGCTAACAGAGAGAAAACATTTCTTACCTTCCTGGGAAAGGGTCCTGGGACTGGGCTGGGGGCTAATCTGCCCATCTCTCTCCTTGTCCGAAGGAACTTTTTTCAGGACAGGTGGGAGAAGAGCAATTTTCGACGAGCCAGGGCTGGATGGGGAGTCCGGGATGTCCTCTAGGGAGACACAAACGCATGAGTCAAGCAGTTGCACCAGCCGGATTCCTAAAACATAAGCCAGGTTAATCTTGAAATACGAACGGCCAATCACTTTTAAAAAGTATCCTAGAAGTTTTCTGGCCAAGACGGAGTGTCATGTCTCTGCAACTAACAGCTATATACAGTAGGGAGAAAAATAACTGAAATTTATAAAAGGTTACAATCCCTAAAACTCACAGACAGACGTGAATTTATGTCGCTGACACGGAATTTCAGTGAGCTGATATTTGAAAAGGACGCTGCCAGTAAGTCAATGTTCCTTTGCCTCAGACACAGAGGCTGTCTGATTTTCTTAAAATACGTGATATTTATAACCCACTGCCTTTGCCTGTTGTCCAGTACAGTGGTCACGTCACACGTATACACATGGACACGTAGGAACGCAGGCACACGTACCTATATATCCATACTGAGACCACTAAGAATAACTTGGAATCAATGGGCTTTTATTTTATTTAAAAAAATTTTTTTTTCTTAATGTTTTTATTTATTTTTGAGACAGAGAAAAACAGCATGAGCAGGGAAGGGGCAGAGAGAGAGGGAGACACAGAATCAGAAGCAGGCTCCAGGCTCTGAGCCATCAGCACAGAGCCCGATGCGGGACCGAACTCACAGACCGCGAGATCATGACCTGAGCCGAAGTCGGACGCTCAACTGACTGAGCCACCCAGGTGCCCCTCAATGGGCTTTTAGAACCAGAAGGACTTTGGTGACCACTGTACGAATGAAGAGATTAAATGACCCGCTGAGGGAAAATGACAAAACTTCTAGGGTTAGAACTCTAGTCTCTTAATTCTAAAGGCGACTTACTTCATTCTTTCTGTAAGGATTTACTGAACTGCGCCCTTTTCTCCGCACTATTTTCTGCAAGGTTATTTGAGCTTGGTGTGTGTAGGTGTGCGTGCACGTGTGCGTGCGTGTGTGTACAGAGGGTTCTCTTCAGCCTTCGCCTTCCAATTCAACTCTCCTCTCTGCGTCACTATACACACAGGCTGTCACCTAACACCGTGGAAGACCTCTCCCTGCTTGGGGCGGTCTCTCAGAGCCGAGGAAGGGAAAGGAGGTGGCGTATTTGAAAATGCCTGAATTCTCAAGCGCTACGAAAACAAACGAGTGTGCTAACATAATTCTCGACAGACTAAGTGCTAAGAAATGAACGGACACATTTAACAAATTGAAAACAGAAGCTCCTTGCAACAGAGTATTGGGAATCCGGCTGGTTTTGCATTTGGAATTGGCCACTGGGGAGCTAAAGTACAAACGAGATCAGGTTCGTTTTAGAACTGTTTCCTTACCGCAGACGAGGGATACACTTTGCTGATGTTTTATTATTATTTTATGCCTTCTCTCTCCCCACTCTATCATGAAGGTATCTTGTGTTGCTCCAAGAAATTTTTTGTTCCCTATCATAACTTTGGTCTGCAAAGAGGTTTGAGCAGAATTAGGCAGTCCTAAGTGATCTGCTTCAAGGGTCGGCTGCTGGGGGGTGACCGCAGGGTGTCTCTCTGTGGCTGCTCTTTGAAGACTGTGCACCGGGTTTCTTGAGGGACCAGTGGGCTGTGAAGACCGGAGGGCATTAACCAGCTGGCCGCTTGGTGAATGAGAGGCATGTTTGAGGGAAAACGGGAAAGACCCACAAGCGGAATGAGTTTGGACGCCTGCGACTTATCTTTTCTCATTCTACCCAATCCTCTGCGTGTTGGCGAAGGACTACGATGAGGCGTGCGTCTTACTTTCTAGTGTGCACGCCCGTGGGAGTGGTCACCCCTACAGCTGGGGGTCCTAGGGTCCGGCTGCCGCTCACCAGCCGTGTGGCATGACAAACTTGAGTGTCCCTGGGCCCCACACTCCACATCTATGGAACGGAGCTGTGATGAGGACATTAGGAGTTTATCCACATAAAGCACTTAGCACACGGCCTGGCACAGAGTTAAGATTAGCAGAGATGGGGCGCCTGGGCGGCTCGGCCGGTGAAGCGGCTGACTCTTGATTTCAGCTCAGGTCATGATCTCACGGTTCGCGAGTTCGAGCCCTCCATCGGGCTCTGCGCTGACAGTGCGGAGCCTGCTTGGGATTCTCTCTCTCTCAAAATAAAAAACAAACATTTTTTACAAAAACATTAGCCGTGATGATGATGGGCATAATCTGACTGTATATCTCTACCTTATTTGCCTATCATTACGGGGGAAAAAAGTGAAGATGCGATATGGGGTTCAATATATTATCCACTCTATTTTTGCAAATGTTTAAAAAATTTTTTAAATAGACTGTTGGAGAAAAACAAAGAAAAAAAAAACCGTACAGGGAAGAACTAATGCAGGAGAGAATAAGGCAGAGGCCCATCCATTTCTAAGATTTTTAAGCTTCTTCTATCCTTAGGTTTTCTAAACCGAGAGCCAGCAAGCTTTTTCTGTAAAGGCCAAACCTAAGTGTTTCAGGGTCTGCAGGCCAACGGCCTCTGTCACAACTACTCAACTGTGCCGTCTTAGCGCAAAAGCTAATACAAACGGCACGGCTGTGTGCCGGTGACACTGTATTTACAAAAACAGGCCCCTGTTTTGCCAAGCCCTGTTCTAAACCCTCAATATTTCACAGAATCTGGGGCGAAAGGAGAGGAACTTACGCTTCCTTATTTGTGTAGACCCTGGAGACGGATCTCAGAAAGCTCAATCAAGCGACTGGGTCAACACAAGACTGTTTCCTCCCGTGGCCCTCCCACCTGCCACCCGTATGCAGGGACAGTCTCAGAAACTCTTCAGCCTTTGCCCCTTTCGAAGCCCCTCCCACGGACCCCCTGCGCCTGCGTTCGCCGGTAGCCCCGGGAACCACCTGTGAGTCCCGATCGAGCACCCTCCGGAGGCCAGCTGGGCACGGGGCCACTCGCTGCCCAGTAAGACCCTTACCAGGCCGCGAGGCGGCTCTTGGTTTCTGTGGGATGGTGGGGCGTGCCGCCAGGCTGGGTTTGGGGGCCTGCGGCAGGGGCTTCGGGCTGGCGGGCGTGTTGGACGAGCTCCGGGGCCTGGAACCCGTGTCCACTTTGGGCTCCGCTTTGGCGTTCTTTTCTGGTGTTCCCAGACCGAAGCGGTTCTCCGGAACACCTGGGTGTGGCTTAGGCACTAAAATAAAAACAGGTACAGAGAGCACGCTTTATGAGCAAAATCAGAGGTGGAAGAAACTGATCACTGGGAGCGAGGAGGGGTCCTGCTCTCGACTGCCACGCCCACTTCTGCTCATGTCTCCTCGCAGGTATTTCAGAACAGAACGTGTTGTTCTACATGCTCTTCGAGTCCACTCACGCTGGCGGAAGACGACAATGTTTGCGGGAAAGCAGCGTACTTGGTGGTACCCTTCCCATCACTCCTGACCACCCCCCAGATGCAAGCCTAAGTTCAAGCGTGTCCACGTCCCTACTAACGCCCAGAGGGGACGCGGTGCTCAGTGCGCTAGATCTTTCTCAGGTCTGGCACGAGGAAGGTACAGGTATGACCGCCTGTGGGTGCCTCGGTTCTGGACAAGCATCAGCAGGTAGGGGTCTGGCTGCAAGCCCTCAGTGACGAGGGCTGCGCGACATCCATCACCTCGCGTTTAGCGAGAACCGTGACGATGTCACCTCATCTCGCACCCCTGCCCTGTTGCTGCCTGAAGCGTCTAGACCACAGGCGGAAACAAGCTGGTTAAATAACGAGCTACATTCCGGCTCTCACGGCATAAAGATTCTGGGGCTCAACCCAGGAATCTCAAACAGCAAAGTGAGGTTTCTGACACGCAATTTGTGAGTTAGTCTCCGTTTCCACCAGAGGTGCCGTTATGATTCTGCTACACCTGCCAAGGATATCGGTGCAGAAAGGAAAGAACACTCCCTCGTGTCAAACAAATGGGCCACCTTCCACCTACCGTGTATGGCTTTCTAACGTCAGCCCTGTCCCCGCCTCCCCCGCCCCTCCAACGCCCACAGCTGGGGAGTTCCTCTCAAAGAGATCTCCTCCCTTTGGGAAACTGGAAAAGGTGGGCTGTCCAGGCGCGTGGCTGCAGGGATGGGGACATGCCCCGGGCTGACCTGCGGCAGGTGAGGAAATGTCTTTCGGTGCCAGCTGAGAACCGTGACGCAGAAACCTATTCTCACGCCCCGTTTTTATTTTTCTCCTGCGAATGACGTGAGGCTCCTGGAACCGGAAGCCGAGCGCCTTTCCCGACGGGGCGACGGCAATCGCCGGACTTACCTGCCCCACCTGCATCCAACCGCTCTGTGCTGCCCAGGCCGGAAGAATCCTGAGACGCCGCATCATTCCCAAGCTTCTAGAAAAGTCAAGCACACGGCCCCCCAAAAGTGCATTTTTGTTTAAAATGTAAGAAAAAGAACAAAGCAGATAATAAACGACAACAAATAGCGGCCCCTTTACCACTGTCACACCGACCGTGTCCGGCCTGTCACCCTGAGGGCCTCCTCCTGGGACACGGTTCTGAGGAGTAAGTTGTGTTCTGGGTTTGCAGTCAGGCTTCCGGGGTCCCAAGTGTGGCCAGTTCCCACGGGTGACAGGTGCGTGGGTTCCGGGGAAGCCAGTGGGCTCGCTGATGTCTCCTGTTTCCTGTGGGTTTTTTGTGGAACACCTACGTGTTCTCTGCAGCCCGATGCTCCCAGCAATGGGGCACGGACACTCTGTAAGGTGACAGGACCCTCTCCAAGCTGGGTTCCAACAATCAAGTGTTAAAAGCAGCGGAAACCTTTTCACTCTGACGTACAAAACAGGTGAAGAGGGGCCCAACACGGGCAGGGTCTTCCTTGTCACGGGGCCAGAACCATAGGGACACAGACCGACGGTTCAGGAGGCAGCGGAGGGGCAGGCCGGAATTAATTTAAAAAACCCAAGAACTTCAGGCAAAGGGGTTTGTGACGGCAAAGGTGGGGAAGGTTGTCTCAGCCGGAGCTGTGACTTGTGAGGCCGGGAATCAGCCTCGTGTGGTGCAGAAAGTCCCCCTGAGACCGAAGCATTTAGACACAAAAAGTCCCATGTAAAGAAAAGGCGAGTGTTTGCTACCAAGAATCCTACTGACAACGATAATCTGCATCTCCTGTCTAAAAACACAAATAAGGTGGGCGGGTGGAAGGGGGGGAGGGCGGGGTAGGGAGCTGAGGATTCCCAGGGCGACCTGACCTTGGCCTGCCCCTTCCTGCTCCACTCACGTGCCCGACAAGCCCGGAGAGCAGGTGTCTGCCGGAAGTTCCTTGCTTTCCGGTATTTTTGATGACATGGGAGGGATTATTTGACACACGGGTGAGACCTGACTCACTGACCGCTTGGCCACAGCCATACACTCGCCAGGAGCGTGGCTCCCAGGGAGGCAACTGGTGCCGAGGACTTTCTCAGCAAGACCACGGATGTTCCCCTAGCAGAGGCTGGTCTCGGAGAAGCAGCGTGCACACAAGTCCCATGGCTAGAACGAGCACATGGTTTGGCACCTCTACGGAAAAGTGATCCTGAGCACAGGAAGCCCCGTGCCAGGGCTGCAGGAGAGCCCTGGACGCGTCTGCAAGGTGAAGACTAGCCGAGAAGTCCCCCGCCTGGACCAGCAAGGGCGCCCGAGCCTTTGAACGGAGTGGTCAGGAGGCGGGGCTTAACCAGTCCCAAAAGCCGAGCGCCTCTCCTCGCATCTTATAACCTCTGGAAGGCACGTCTGTCTGGGCTCAAAAATAAGAAGGTGGGCTATTTAAAGTGGCCAGGACGGAGGACACATTGAAGGAGACACCGCCTCTCAGGCCATGAGTGCCCAGCGCCCCGCGTACCTGCAGTTAAAATATAATTCTAGGGGGTGCGCCGGGGTGGCTCAGTCGGTTAAGCGTCCCATTTCAACTCGGGTCACAATCTCGTGGTTCGTGAGTTCAAACCCGTGTTGGGCTTTGTGCTGACAGCTCAGAGCCTGGAGCCTGCTTCGGATTCTGTGTCTCCCTCTCTCTCTGCCCCTCCCCTGCTCATGCTCTGTCTCTCTTCTCTCTCTCTCTCAAAAGTAAACATTAAAAAAATGAAAAAGATAAAATATAATCCTAGGGGTGGCTCTTACTGTTTCCTTCCCGGCTTTCCCAGGTAGTCAACACATGTCAAAAATTACTGCATGGAACAAGGAGGAAATACAGAGCACACAGCTGACCAGGCGGCCCCAGGAGAAAGCGCGTGGCCTCTAAGCAGACGCTACTTGGTACTCTGCTTTGCTAATGAATGAGAAGTGCGCTGTTCCCATTTTCATGTTCTTTTTCTTTAAATACGTGCATTAAATGTGAACAGTGTCAAGAAACTTATTCAAGAGAAGAGTGAGGACACCGTACTTTTTTTTTTTTTTTATCAACCGTCTATTGACCACTGGCGTTTATGCCGCTGACTTCCTCAAGAATACGGTCATAGAATTTTAGGGGAGAATCTTCTTACACTAATTTTTGAAACACTTTTTTGTTATTATTCTGATAGAACACCCCTGACTGGTTTGAACTGTAAGTATAGCCATACCTCATCTTATTGCACTTTGCAGATACTGTTCCGGTTTTTACAGATTTAAGGTTTGCGGTATCACCGCACGGTACAATTCTATCGGCACTGCTGTTCCAACAGCACTTGCTCACGTCGTGTCCCTGTGCCGCATTTTTTTTTTTTTTTTTTTTACGATATGTCAAACTCTTCCGTTATTGTTATATTTGCCATGGCGATGTGTGCTCAGTGATACCGCTCTTGTAACTGTCTGCGGTGCCATGAGCTGCATCCACGTAAGGCAGTGAACTTAACTGATAAACGTACGTGTTCTGACCATTCCACCAACCGGCCGTCCCCCTGTCTCTCCCCCGTTCCTCAGGTCTCCTTAGTCCCCGAGACACAATGATATTGAAATCAGGCCACTCGATAGTCCTACTAAGTGTTCAAGGGGAGGAAGAGCGGGGCACCTCACTTTAAATCGAAAGCTAGCCGTGATTAAGCTCAGCGAGAAAGGCATGTTGAGAGCCAGGGCAGGCCGAAAGCTAGGCCTCTTGTGCCAAATAGCTGCCAAGTTGTGAATGCAAAGAAGTGAAAAATGTAACCCCAGGGGTGCCTGGGAGCTCAGGGAGTTAAGCGTCTGACTCTTGGTTTCGGCTCAGGTCATGATCTCAATGGTTCGTGGGTTTGAGCCCTGCATTGGGTTCGGTGCTAACAGCAGAGAGTCTGCTTGGGATTCTCTCTCTGCCCCTTCCCCTGCTTTCTCAAAATAAATAAATACACTTGAAAAAAAAAAACGTTAACTCCAATGAACACACGAATGATAAGTCAAACAGCCTTATTGCTGATAAGGAGAGGGTTTGAGTGGTCAGCATAGAAGATCAAACCAGCCCCAACATTCCCTTAAGCCAAAGCCTAATCCAGGGCAAGCCCCTGACTCTCTTCAATTCTATAAAGGCTGAGAGGGATGAGGCAGCTGCAGAAGCAAAGTCTGAAGCCAATCACGGTCGGATCATGAGGTCGAAGGAGCCGTCTCCACAACAGAAAAGTGCAGAATGAAGCAGCACGTGCCGATGTGGGAGCTGCAGCGAGTTCTCCAGAAGATCCAGCTAAGAGAGTTAGTGAAGGCGGTTACGCCAGAAAACAGATGATCGGTGTAGACCAACAGCCTTCTTCTGGAAGATGCTGCCATGTGGGACTTCCGTGGCTGGAGAGGAGACGTCCATGTCCGGCTTCAAAGCTTCAAAGGACAGGCTGACTCTTGTCAGGGGCCAGTGCGGCTGCTGACTTGAAGTTGACGCCAATGTTACCATTCCAAAAATCCTAAGGCTGTAAGGTTGAGGCTGGCCCTACTCTGCCTGTGCTCTAGAAATGAACAACAGAGACGGGATGACGGTGCATCTGTTTACGACGTGGTTTCCTGAACACTTTAGGTCCCCTGTTGAGACCTTCTGCTCAGGAAAGAAAGACTGCTTTCCAAACGGCACTGCTCATTGACAATGAGCCTGGTCACCCAAGAGCCCCGGTGGAGACGCTGTTTTCATGCCGACACAACACCCATTCTCTGTAGCCCACGGATCAAGGTGTGATTTCAGCTTTCACGCCAGATTCACGGGAAGAGGTCGAAACATCAACGCGAACGGGACTCTGGAAGCAGTGGATTCCAACCCTCAGGGACGACTCTGAGGGCCCATCATGACCCCAGCGGGGGAGGTCAGTGCGGGTGTGGTGGAAAGAGCTAGAGAGCTGTGGAGTTAGAGGTGGCGCCTGAAGACAGGACTGAACGGCTGCCGTCTCGTGATCAAACGGACACAGTTGTTGCTTCTGACGGATGAGCAAAGGAAGTGGTTTGCTGAGCTGGGATCTACTCCCAGTGAATGTGCGGTCAGGACTGTTCAAGTGACAACAAAGGGTTTAGAATAGGACATTGACTTGGTCGCTAAAGCAGCGGCCGGGTTTGAGAGGGCTGACTTCAATTTGAAAGCAGTTGTGCTGCGGGTAAGACGCTATCAAACAGCATCGCCTGCTACAGACAGATCATTTGTGAAAGGGAGAGTCCATCGATGTGGCCAACCTGACTGTTGTCCTATTTTAAGAAATCGCCACCCTGATCCGCCAGCAGCCCTCAGCATGGAGGCAAGACCCCGCACCAGCAAGCTCGGATGACGGTTGGCATGTTTTATCAATAGACTATTTTAAAATGAAGACGTGTCCGTTGTGATTTTAGACATAACGCTAGTACACGCCACATAGCCTACAGTATCGCGTAAACATAACCTTCTATGTACTGGGAAACCCAAAACCTCACTTGACTCGCTTTACTGCGATATTCGCTTCATCGTGTCGGTCCGGAACCGAACCCTCGATATCTCTGGGGTCCACTGTATGAAGGATTTTTATTATTGGTGGTGTTTAAAAAGACACTAGATGGCGCTACGAGGTCATTACTATAAGCCTCCAACAACAGACTTCTAAAACCATAGGAATTTTGTCGCTGAGTCAAATCCAAAGCACATGTAAAAAACCCTCTAGCATCTCCCCATCTTTCTACCAAAAAGCAGCTGTTCATCAATGAAAAACAGTGATAAAATAAACAGCTCGTTAGTGAAAACAGCATGTTCATCATTGTAAGGAAATTCTATGAAACAGATTGCAATTTAAACACTTCCTTGGGCGTCTGACTTGCCAAAGATGCGGTTACAGAATTCTGACTAGTGCCTGCCTTGCTGAATTAGCAGAATGCAGTTACATGGTCCCCTCTGCAGCCCTCTCCACCTTCTGTAAGGGGCAGTGAGCGAGGTGGGAGAGATCCATCACTAGGAAACCGCGGGATAACCACAGTGCCGGTGGAGGGCTATGGTGAACAGGTGTAAGATCCCGTGCGATGCAGGATTTAATGAAAACAAAAAATCAGTTAAGTGATATAAAACAGCCTCCGCACTCTGGTATATAATACAGTTGGAAGAACTTTCTAAAACTCAGTGGTTCGTTGGGGCGAACTCTTTCATTCTGACACTTCCAGTAAAACGGATGTGTGATTTTCCTTTCTTGGGGAAAACCAGTTACGTCAAAGAAAGAGCTCGGGATAATGCACAAAACCCAGAACCCGGGTTCACGTGGGCATGTGCGTCTCCGTGACCACCATAAACCTGCAATCTTTCCAGTAGCTGCAGGAGAAAAGAGAGAGAAGAGGGGAAGAAAAAAACCCACGATGTATATTTTAAAAGACGTTCGAAGAGTAAGTGATGCTCTGAGCCAGAGTTTGGGGGGTCCTGGCCATTTTTAAACGATCAAGTTTTTCTCCAGAGCGAACGACAACATATCTCAATGGTCAAGTACCCAATCAAAACTAACAGAATACCTTGCCTTTCTTTTCTTCTGGCTTGCAAATCTGGAGTACAGCGGGGAATTTTAGGCTTGGAAAAGGGAACGAATTATGAAAAAAACTGAAAAGCAGATCTACCTTTATATAATTAGAATCTGGTTTCAGTATTTAAAATTTTTTTTTTTTACTTTTTTTTTTTTTAGTATTTATTTATTTTTGAGAGAAAGAAACACAGTGTGAGTTGGGGAGGGGCAGAGAGAGAGGGAGACACAAAATCCAAAGCAGGCTCTGGGCTCTGAGCCGTCAGCACAGAGCCCGACATGGGTCTCGAACTCAGGACCGGCGAGATCATGACCTAGACTGAAGTTGAACACTTAACTGACAGCCACCCAAGTGCCCTAGATGCTTTTTTTATTTTTAAGTAGTCTCTACACCTGACATGGGGCTTGAACTCACAACCCTGAGATCAGGAGTTGCACGTCTGGCCGACTGAGCCAGTCAGGCACCACCCCCGGTTTCAGTCTTTTCATCTGCTTCTGTCAGGTCTACTCTGGTCACCCTGGGGTCTCTGTCTGGACTCAACAGACTCCGTCTTCTCCCCAGATTTGAGCATTTTCCCGGAACAGGGGTCCATGCTTCTGACTTGCACAGGAAGCACCTCGGCAGGGGGAGGAAAGGCCGCAGACTCTCGGCCAAGGACTTCCCTCCAAGCACTGTGGCCTCAGGAGAGCCGGCCCCTGTCCCCGAGGGGAGCACGGCCATGCCTCGGCGCCCTGTGCTCTTTTGGAAAAAGCCTTTTGTCCTGGGATCTGTATGCAACCGGACAGGCTGGTTCTGCAGCCCCCTCGCCCATAAACACCGAGTGGGGCACCACCCCGGAGACGCCCCCGCGGGAGGAACGCGCCCTCACCTTCTGCGCCCAGGCGGCTCTCCTCTCCTGTTTGGCCTTCATCTCCGCCAGCAGACCGCTGCCCATCACCTGCACCCCGTACCTCCGCCCGGCCTGTGGGCTGCCCTTGCTGTCACTCCGGTCCGCCTTCCCCACGTCTTCCCCCGGACTTTCCTCGACGGGGTCGGGTGTTTTCATCTCCTCCAGCCGCTCAGAACTGCCATTGTGTTCCGCTGGCTTCGTGTCCTTCCTGGGTGTGTCTGAGGCCGGACTCCGGATGGCCCCTTTGGGCGACGAGGGCTCGTCCGTCATCAGGACCGTCGGGGGCCGCTCCGTTTTGGACCGGGATTTGATTAAATTGAGAAAGCCGCTTTTCCGAGAATCTCGCTTTTTCTTTTCGTCTCCTCCTTCACCAAGCTCCTGGGACTCGGAGCCTCTTGCCGATCGCCTGCGATTCAAAAGAACAAATCCTGTGGGTTCTGATGTAATTACAGTTCTAGCAAGAATCCGTCAAGACACAAATATGGAGCTTGCGGCTTATGGGGCGACCATCACGTAGCATTTCAAAATTTTCATTTGAGTCACTGCGCTCGGTAAACAGAAGTGTGGAATGTTGTCATCTTGGGTCACAGGGGAGGGGACTGAGGTTCCACCAAAGAAGAAGGTGTAGATGGTGGGACTATTAGCAGAATGAGGTGTTCCAGCACGATCAGGGGAGGGGCAGAGAGAGAGGGAGACACAATCGGAAGCAGGTTCCAGGCTCTGAGCTGCCAGCACAGAGCCCGATGCAGGGCTTGAACTCATGAACCGTGAGATCATGACCTGAGCCAAAGTCGGATGCTCAATGGGCTGAGCCACCCAGGCGCCCCTAGGTGTTTCTGTATTTAAATACTCTGCTCACTTGCCTATTTATTCTACTTGTAAGAACTTTCAGAAGCTGGCTCCTCAAAGACTGAGGTGGGCAACAGCCTTATTTAATTTGGTGCCAGAAAGGGCAAGATTCCCCCCAGAAGCACCTGAAATCCTTGCACAATCACTAGATACCACCTGAGATCCCACCCTCAGTGCTCCACCCAAAGATGCGGGTCCTTGCTTAAATGGAATACCACCGAAAGAGGTAACAGAGACCGTGAGCTTTGGGAGAGAGTTGTAACCAAGAGAACATTCAGCACCGTGGGACTGGATGGGAAAAGAGTGAGTGAGATGGGCCAAGGGGGAGGTCTCACTGCCGCCTTTCGCTTACAGCTGGCAGACCCAATCCCCTTTAGCTCCTCTGAGTCTCCAGCGATCACAGCCAAAGGTATAAAGAAAAGAAAAAGAAAAAAAAAAAAAAGGCAAAAGCCCCAGAGGGGAGGAAAGGCAAAACCAACAAACTTTGGAAGCCAAGAGAGTTGTGAGTGACAAGGGACGTAAGAGACTTGGGGCAGCTGACCTCTGGAGCAAGGAGAGGGTGACGAGAGGTGGAGGGGTTTGCGCGGGACTCCAAGCACCTCTGGGAACAGAAGGAAGCGGAGGCCCCGGAGAGGGAGAGACCCAGAAGCCCACTCGCCAAACCCTCAGACCCTCCCCCCACACCAGAGACCAGAAGGGCCCCTTGGCGCCCAAGTTTCCCCGCCGGGGAGGGTGAGGGACGGACAGCAGGACGGCCAAAGAACGCGTGCTGTCGTGAGAACACGAGGCTCAGGTAGAGGGTGGCGGACCGTGGCACCCAAGACCTGCATCTCTGGCACATGGATCACTTCAGGCGGATTAAGAAATAGCAGATGCTGCAGAGGCTCTGAAAACTGAGTAGAAGTTGCCCTTTCAGAAGAAGCATTTATACTCATGGGAGAAATCTCCTTTGTCAGGGTGTCTCCTCTCGGGAGCAGGCAGAGGGGGAGAGCCGCATCTCTAGAAACTTCCCAGTGGAGAAGGTATGGACTTCAGTGTATACAACAACCTCACCCTGTTCACAGGCCTCTTCCTGCTGAGCTCCAAAACCCGTTCCCCAGCCCCCATCCCAACGTTTTTTCTTTGGTCTTTAACTGAAAATGGTATTTAACGTGGTGGCTTGGGCCATTCTGGAGAGCTACTCAGTTTTTCTGGGTCTCTCCCATGTGGGTAGGAGGTATACACGTTTTTGAAATTCTTTCTTTTTTTAGGGGCGGGGGAGAGGGACACAGAGAGAGAAAGAGAATCCCAAGCTAGGCAGGGAGTCCGACACAGGGCTCAACCTCGATCCCATGACCCTGGGATCATGACCTGAGCTGAAATCAAGAGTCAAATGCTCAAATGACTGAACCACACAGGTGCCCCATGTTCTTGAACTTCCGTGTTGTTTTTCTTCTGTTCATCTGTCTTGTATTACAGGTCTCAGCCTAGCTAGGCCTATCTCAGCCAAGAACCTAGAAGGGTATAGAGAAAATTATTTTTCCTCCCATACAATCCCAGAAAAGCCTGCATATTGGGACAGTGATACTCTCAGCTCCTTTCTCTTCTTCTGGATCCTAGAATGGGGTGGCCAGGTTCATAGCCTCCAGGCAGAAGATCAAATTTCCTAACAAGCCCAAGAGAAAAGACCTGAAGATTCTGATAGTCAGGGAGACTCCCGTCCAGCAAAATGGCCCAAGACGAGTACTCTACATTGAAGTCCCCCAGTAGACAGGCTCTACTTGTTGCCAAATGAACTGGGGAGACCCTGGACCCTTGACCCAGCCTGTCCCAAAGATGTCACCGAATGCTCCTGCTCTCCTCATGAGAAAGAATTCAAGGGCAGACACAACACAGCGGATGAGTGACACAAGCAGGAAAGTTTATTGGAGCCAAAGTACACTCTCGAGGGGCGCCCGGCTGGCTGTCAGTGGAGTATGCAACTCTTGATCTCGGGGTTGTGAGTTCGAGCCCCACATTGGGTGTAGAGATTACTTAAAAATAAAATCTTTAAAAAGCAAAACAAAGCAAGTACGCTCTCAAAATGTGAGAGTAGGTGAGCTCAAGTGACAGAGGTGTGCACTGGGGTTTGGGACTCTATCTTTTTTTTTTTTAAATTTTTTTTTCAACGTTTTTATTTTTATTTTTGGGACAGAGAGAGAGACAGAGCATGAACGGGGGAGGGGCAGAGAGAGAGGGAGACACAGAATCGGAAACAGGCTCCAGGCTCTGAGCCATGAGCCCAGAGCCTGACGCGGGGCTCAAACTCACGGACCACAAGATCGTGACCTGGCTGAAGTCGGACGCTTAACCGACTGCACCACCCAGGCGCCCCTGGGACTCTATCTTTTAACTGCAGTTGATAACAAGAGAGTAGAATATTCATTAATTGCAAGGGGAAGCAGGGTTTTGTGCCTTTTCTTCCTTATTTGGTAAGTGCTTCCTGTCATGCCGGCTGCCATCTTGGGCCCCTCCTGTGTGAGGGGGCTTCTCAGGGACAGCTGCCCTCCAGGCGTCCTCTTAGACCCTAACTGCCTCTAACACACTCACCAACCTCCAAGCTCACTAGTGCCCTATCTCATTTCAAATGAAAGAGAAAAAAATTGCTGTGCTCACCAAACAAGCATAACAAAAAATGTGACAGCAGAGGTATAAAACTCAAGACTGGAAGATACAGCTGAGGAAATTTTTCAGACAGTGAGGAAAAGGGGGGGGGGGCAGGGAATAGAAAGAATGAGAAAATGAGAGAGAAGAGGGAACACAAAAAAACTAGCGGATTAATAGAAGAAATGCATAATTTGAATCATGGATGTTTTAAGAAAAAGGATACAGAGAAAAAAGGAAGAAATCATGAAAAAAAAAATAAGTCAAGAAAAATTCCAGAACCAAAGGACATGAATTTCCAGATTAAAATGGTTCATCGGTGCCTAGCAAATGCGTTAAAACAAAACGAAAAAACCCTACCCAGAGCCAAACACCATAAATTTCTGGGAACACAGAAAAAATCCCAAATGCTTCCACAAAAGAGTAAAAAGAAAAATAAGTCACACAGAATCAGGGCTCATGATGACACTGGATCTGGAGGAGGCAGGCTGCCTCGAGATGGGCCACCTTGGCATGAAGATTATTTTGAGTGAAAAAGCCATTAAAACCCAACAGATTCAGGAAAAGCGCTTTGGGTTCCCCCTCAACTGCCTAGAAGAAGTTAGATAGGGGACCTGCTCCCGGAAAAGAGAGGTCACCACGGACAACTACACTACTATGAATGAGGGGTGGTTGATGGGGAGGGAAGGCCACTGAGTGGCCCAGCAGACATTTGTTTACCAAACATTTACTCTTCCTGAGAACTGCGTTCCTTCCCTTTGAAGTCCCAGACCCCTGCTCCTTCTTGGTTCAGAATGACATACGTGCTTCACGTTGCCTGACTGTCTTCAGAATTTCGTGTCTGTGCGGATTCCCTGTACATACCGGACTCTCTCCTGTCAATCTTTCTCATGTCAATTTGATTCTTAGTCCATCTAGAAGGAGCCTGAAGGGGACAGGGTTTTCTTGCTCCCCGGAAAGGCAGATTCTTGGAGCAACACTAGAAGCCAGGAGGCAATGGGACCAGGGTGTCAAGATTCTAAGGTAAAATGGATTCCAATCTAGAATTCTATACAGAGTCACAGTGTTAACCAACATGGAGGACTTCGAGGAGTCTCAGAAACTCCCCTCCCAAGCCCCCTTCTCAGGAGGAACGCGGAGGCGGTCAGGCACCAAAATGAGGGAGTGAAAGAAAGAAGGAGGAGACACAGGGCAGGGAGGGCGGCAGGAAGACAGCAGGGGAATGGCCCCTCGTGCCACATGGAGTCGGTCAGGCAGCGAGGAAGGACCGGAGAGGAGATTTATACCTTTCTTGGAGATGCGTGGGATAGGGCAGTAGGGAATAGGGAAATAGGGAAAACCAAGCAAATGCAAAGGGGATAATTGTTCACCGCAGGGAAAATAAAAAAGCTGTGAAGGAGAGGAAACACGACGACGGTGTAACTCGGCCATGAATATTTACATGGTCACGATGAAGTGAACACACTGATCTAACCAACAATTATGATAAACCACATAAGACGGGAGACTAAAAGAGCGTGTGTGGTGGGCAGAAGGGTCACAGTGTGTCAGAGAGAAATTATCCTGTATAGTGAGAAGTTAACAGTCATACTTACTATCTAAAACTGAAAAACAGGAAACAGCAAAAAATGTTATTGAAGAAGATGGAAGCAAAAATAAAAAAGAAGCAGCTAAAGGCATAGGAATTAATTGCCTCTGGGGAATAAGGAGTGGGGAAAGAAACAATGGAGTTGTGTGTGTGTGTGTGTGTGTGTGTGTGTGTGTGTGTCTTTTGGTAAAAAGCCTTGTACAACATCTTGCATTTTAAACTATGAGCATTTATAACTCTGATTTCCAAACTTTGTTCATATAGCTTACAGATTTACCTATGCCTAGCCCTTTACGTATCAAATTGACACATAAAATGAAATGAAACGAAAAACATAAATAAAAACTTCTAGTAGATTCCATCACTATTTGGTGAAAACTGATGTCTAATTCTGTTTGCATACTGGAACATACTCCCAGAGCAGAATCTTTGTAGAGAGTGGATTGTGCACCTTGTAAAATTTGCCCCAACTTTCATTCAAAGCCTGTTACAGAAGGCATCCTACGGACACAGGGAATCACACGGGAGCAGGTGTAACACAAATGGTTCGGATCAAACGTGCATAAACCTCTCCACTGATGACATAACAACTTCTGAACTTTAGGAGGAGGGTCTGCGGTCTGCAGAGATACAGGCCAAGACGGTCCAAATTCATTCAGCCAGCTGTGACTGTAGGCAGACTACAGACCACAGACTGCCAGACGCTGATGTTATCACGAACAGTAAGACCTAGGTGTTGCTTCTGAAGAGAGCAGCATTCTAGGGGGAAAAAAGACTGGAAAGCACATCATGAAAAGGGACTTTCCAGTTGGCTCTGTTTATGTTGGTCTCCCTTGAATCTTTTACACTGAAAATACATCTGTCCATTCCTCACACTGTAAAAAAATTTAAAGCCGAAGAAACGCTCAAAGGGTGACGTGTGCTCTAACAGAAAAAAAAAAAAAGGCGGGGGAACCTGGGTGGCTCAGTCGGTTGAGCGTCAGGTCATGATCTCACGGTGCGTGGGTTCAGGCCCCATGTTGGGCTCTGTGCTGACAGCTCAGAGCCTGGAGCCTGAATCGGATTCTGTGTCTCCCTCTCTCTCTGCCCCTCCCCCACTCATGCTCTGTCTCTCTCTCTGTCAAAAATAAATCAACATTAAAAAAAAAAATTCTAGAAAAAAAAAGCGTTGGGTCACCAGGAGAGAAAGAACAATTAATCTAGGGGGTGGGAGAGGAGCCATCGTGAGACAGCTTCAAAGACTGGGTGACATTTGATCTGGTTCTTGAAGAACGGGGGCACGGCACCCTTCCTAGCATGCCAGGCTTCAAGGCCAGTGTCCAAGAAGACAAATAATTGGGCCCTGAAGCTTAGAATGTGCAGTTAGGTTATACTGTTACAGATTTAAAAACTTCACTTCTTTCCAACTCACCACTCTGAAGCAAGATAAGCAAGATAAGGTCTACAGAAGGGACCAGCCTCTTCCCTGTGCCCAGCTGGCCCACCCTCAGTTTATCAGGATGGTTTCAATTCATTCCTGGATCTGAGACCTCAAGGTGGAGAACACTTCACAGACACGAATGCATGTTAAGAGCGTATCCAGGGACAGATCTGCATTTCAGTCGGGGATTAAAGAACTGGCTACAAACGACGCTGAATGCCTAGAATGTCCCGGGTTAAATGACTGTTACTAAAAGCTCAGAGAAGAACTGTCTTTTAAGGAAACACGATTCAGGAATAAGAAAAGGAAGAAACATCTCGGAACCTGCCCCTGACGCCTCTTCGCTATTTCTGTTGTCATTCTGATGCTACTGAGGCTGTGCCATTTAGCAATGCTACGGGGCCCCCCACGGGCCTCAAATGATGAACAAGGAGACTTTAGAAATAAGTAATGTCAGCTGTCAAAGTTCACCACCCTGCCATGAAGGGGTCGTGACAGTGATAAAGCCCTAAACAGATACCTTGCTATGTTCTGTGCTCTATTTTGGAACAGCACAATGGTTCGCAAACTGAAGCATGCCTCAGTGTGCCCTGGGGGCTTAATAAAGTACAGACTGCCTGGTCCCACGTCCAGAGTTTCTGATTCAGTGGGTCTGGGGTAGTGGCTTCGGAATTTGCATTTTCAGTAAGTTCCCAGTTGACAGTGAGGATTGCTGGTCTGGAGATCACATTTTGCAAACCATGCGAAGAGGAAATCCCATGTAGTGTATATAAATAAAACAAACAAACCTTGGAACAGTAAGTTGAGTTGCAACTTAAGAACTTACAGGTGAATCCAACAGTATTATTAGTGACAGGACTCTGAACTCACTTGGAATCCATCTTGGTCACCTTCTTGGTGAAAAATTCATCCACACCTTCGTCCACTCTCCCCATGAGGCCGTTCTGTTCCCCATCTTGGGAGACTATGCTGGAAGCGCAGACCTGCTGACCAAACGGGAGAAATGGCAATTTACGGTCAACGTCACGCGGCAAACATGACCGTCGCATTCGAGGCACCGCGACAGGGGCCCCGGGAAGGACAGGACTGGCTGAGCAGGGCCCTCACGTGCTACGGGAATGCAAATCGCGTGTACAACTGTGGCAAGGGCAGGAGGCGACAAAAGTGAGGAATGCACCAGGACCGCAGAGCCTGGTGCGGGGTTGACGCTGGTGGGCGCGTCAGAGGCGGTGGCCGGGAAGAGCCCAGCTTCCTACAGGCGGAGAGAGCATTGCAGGTGATCTGAGGGCAAAGGGAATGCACGGAAAAAAGGCGACAGGTGCTAGGGTCTGACTGGAGATGACCCCAGGGGCCAGGGGCCAGCGGAGCGTGGGTGGGTTCAGCTGCTAAGCACAAACCCCGGCAGACGCGAACAGGGGCCACTCGGGTCCCCTCCCCTGCTTCCTTGCTTTCTTGCGGGAAGAAGCCTGATTTCCAGGAGTGAGTACTTATTTGTAGAAGCCAAACCCCGTAATTGTATCGCCTGTGACTGGTAGGCATGGTGTAGGATACGATGCTGGTGAGACAGAAGGGAAATCTGCCAGGGGCTTGGGAGCACGGTTTGCTGCAGACAGAGTATATTTTTTCTGCCTGGTTATATGTGGGAGGACGTGATGTGTGAGCTGCAGTGGCCACCTGGGGCTCGAGGGGGTACAAGCCTGAGGACAAAAGCCAACATGTGGAGGACGACCGAGCAGACGGCAGAAAACATCCAGGTGCTGGAGCTTTGCTGCTGAATAAGCCAGTCCTTGATCCTGAGACTTCTGGGTTTCTTGTTGAGAAAATCAGGATTTCTCACTGTCGGAGCCATCTTTAGCCGCATATCGTTATCTCTAGCTGAACGAATGCTTTCCAACTAATGATACAAGGACCAATGGTGAACAGCCTTGAATCTCGCACGAAAGAGTGTGGAATTCACTCCGTAGGCGATAGGGACCCCACAGAAGCGTGGCACGGCCCAACCTGTATTTTGCTTAGATAATTCTAGAGCAGCGTGAAGTTGGAGGAGCCAGGGACTGTAAGTAGGGGAATCTGATTTTTTTTTTTTTTTTACATTTATTCATTTTTTGAGAGACAGAGACTGAGTGAGAACGCGCAGGGGGAGACAGGGAGACACAGAACCCGAAGCAGATTCCAAGCTCTGAACTGTCAGCACAGAGCTGGACGCGGGGCTCGAACCCACGAACCGTGAGATCGTGACCTGAGCCGAAGTCGGACGCTTAACCGACTGAGCCCCCCGGGCACCTCTGTAAGTAGGGGAATCTGTTCAGGAACACAAAAGAGAGATTCCTGTAATAGTCTGGTCTGATCTGGAGGAGGCGAGGGGCAAATTAAGGCCTGGAGAAACAAGAGTACCAAGAAAGGAGCTGCCTCAGATGATGTCGAAGTTTCTAGGCTGGGTGAATGGGAGCATGATTCTAGGGAACATAGGTCAAAAGGCCAGATTTGGGGTAGACGACGATGAGTGCAATTTCTGACAAGCATCTGAGGTGCTGTGGGAAACCCAGGGTCAGGGGTCCAGGAGACGCTTCAAAGCTTGGGTCTCAGGAGAGGAAATCACTTACCAAGTTAGCAACTGTCTTTGAATGGAAATCTCACGGTGAGCTCAGCAATATGTCTGATTTGCGTCTGCAATGGTGTGTTAGGTTAATATTTTACACCCAGCGGTTGTAGGCCCTTGAGAAAGAGGGCCTGTCTTGCCCATTCCTTTGGGCACAAGGGCAAATTCTCCTGCTGCTGGGCTATCTGGTCTGGAGGTCTTGCCACAGAGTGGTGGGGAAGTGGCTTTCTGTAATCCTGATGTGCAAGTGTCAAGTTGCCTCTAGGGGAACTTGGCTGAGGTCTGCAAAGACCTCTGTGTGTGCTGTTTAAAGAAAAAACCGATCATTTGCTTTAGGCAGTTATATCCATTTCACTCGCTGGGAAATCTCCATTATGAATGTGAGCCGTGTGTTTGAGCTCATGTTTGCCAACCGCTGAACATGAGCGGATAACAGATACGGGACAAAAGGACGCTGTGAATAAAAACAACTCTATTTCTCCTCGGGATGGTGCTTTGTATCGGAGCAAGGCTTTCCCGGGTCTTCTAACGGAGCAAACAATCAGCCGAGTTGTAGAATTCAGCTACGGCCAGAGAGCTCACGAGTAACTTTTACCACAAAAGGGAAAGAAGCACCGAACTGGCTCAGGGTTAGCACTTTTCCTCTTGCAAAACAATGGAGAGGGGGCTCTCCACAGTAATAATGGTTCCCTGTGTTTGTACAATGCTTCATGGTTTACACGTGTGTTGCACCGTATGACTTCATTTTCATTTGTACCTTCTGCACTGAAAAGGAAAGATAGTTTTATCGTAGTATTTGGTTAGTCACAGCAAACAGGGGGCTCAGAGGGCGAGGGGGACCCACGCAGGTCACCTGACCGATGGATGGAAAGGGTAGGAGCCCAGGACGTACGGTCCTAACACGGGCCTTCCGTCCGGTGCGCCCATGCTTCCCTTCCGAGGCTTCCTCTCAAATTCCCTTCCCCATTCTGAGAAAAAAAAATAACTACTTTCTACTAGCATAAATTTCTCCTCTAAGCCCTTTCCTTGCTTCCTGCTTTGACATGGAATTCACCGCTAGCACAGCAAGTTCTCTGGGGTCAGGGAGGAAGGACATCGATGGGTTTCAGTCATGGAGGTCCACGGGGCCCAACAAGCAGCCTGCTTTCCTGTAGGACGAGCGCTTTCAGGGCTGGGTGGACCACAGAGGTGATTCCCCAGACCGACCGGGTCACGTTAGACACGAAGACACTGCGAGCAGAGAGGTTATGGGAAGTCCGGGATCACCAGGAGACCTTCCAGGGGATGTGGTTTAAAATGCATCGGTTAAGATAGGAAGTGGCGATGTCGGCAGCTTGTACGAAGAGCGGCACAAAAACCAAACGCAAAAACGAATACGATTTGTCAAAACGGTTCGCGGTCAAACACACACGCCGTTTCAGCTCAATTTCTAGCAAAAGGAAAGGAAAGGGACATACAGACATCAGAAGTTCTCCGAATCCCATTTGACTTTGGTCTTTCTATCAAGGAGAATACATTTCAGACTAAAAAGTGTGGCACGGGGACGCCTGGGTGGCTCAGTCGGTTAAGCGTCCAACTCTTGACTTTGGCTCAGGTCATGGTCTTCACGGTCTGTGAGTTCGAGCCCCGCATTGGGCTCTGTGCTGACAGTGCTGAGCCTGCTTGGATTCTCTTTCTCCTCTCTCTCTCTGCCCCTCCCTGCCTCTGTTTCTCAAAATAAATAAACTTAAAAAATTTTTTTCATTTAAAAAATTAAATAAAAAAAATAAGTAAAAAGTGTCGTGTAGTTACTGGGAGAGGGGAGCAGAAGCCCCCTCCCCAGCCAGTCGGAACAGATTGCATCTGTACTCACAGAAAGGCTCTGCAAACAAAACAGGGCATCGGAATGGCTGCTGGCGGTATTTGAAAAATCAAGAAGGTAGATTTTGCGCCTCTGGGGGATGAATACAGGCTAAAAGGACCATTTGTGAGTGCTTAGAGGATAAGCCGGTGATTATGAGCACTAATGACGATTCAGACCACCCTCCGCCAGGATTATGAAGATGAACGTGCCAGGGAGACACCGTGGGTGGTGCACCTGGCTTCTGACAGGAGCTGTCAGACCTCTAGTAATGTCTCCACAGGCCGCACGGAGAGAGATGGGCAGGAAGGAAGGACAATTAGTGTATTATTAGTAACTCTGAACACACACACACACAGAGCGCTAATTAGCGAGCTGAACAGTCCTGGAATTTTACATGCATACATTAGGCAGTAAGAAACAGGCAGCAGTGAGAGCTAAGCGGTCAGATCAGGAAATAAGGGACCTAAAAGACATAAAATGAAGGAACTATAATAAAAACGTAAGGCAAAAATTAATGAGCTTAAGAGGACTAATAAAACTAAAAGATGATTCTCCAAAAAAAGACTAATAAAAGAGCGAGCCTCACAAAATTAGGAGAGAAGCATGAAACTATATCAGAAATGAAAAAAAAAAAAAAAACATGGGGCACAGAAACACGATACAGGAGAGATTAAAAAGTTATGAGAGGGGCGCCTGGGTGGCACAGTCGGTTAAGCGTCCGACTTCAGCCAGGTCACAATCTCACGGTCCATGAGTTCGAGCCCCGCGTCAGGCTCTGGGCTGATGGCTCGGAGCCTGGAGCCTGTTTCCGATTCTGTGTCTCCCTCTCTCTCTGCCCCTCCCCCGTTCATGCTCTGTCTCTCTCTGTCCCAAAAATAAATAAACGTTGAAAAAAAAAAAATTTTAAAAAAAAGTTATGAGAATTCTATACACGACTAAATGAACGATTAGACTAAGTGGGCAAAATCCTAGAAAAATATGAATGGCCAAAATGGTCTCAAGGAGAATTAGGTAATCTGATTAGATCTATAACGAAAGGCATCAAATCCCTACGAAAGGAATTCTGCACAGAAGTATCACCTGCGCACACACAACACATCGGGCCCAGATGGCTCCCCAGGAGAGGAACAGAAAATCTCTGCTGTGTACAAACTGTCCCAGAGAATAGGAAAGGAGAATTTCTGAACTAATTTTATGAAGATGGTATAATTCTGAAACCCAAAGCAGATGGATGGTCTAGACGAGAATAAGAAAACTATAGATCTCTCTTCTTTACGCACATAGATTAAAAAATCCCAATAAAATATGGTAAACAAAGCCCAGCAGTATATTAAAACAAAGCAAGAATAGGGGCGCCTGGGTGGCGCAGTCGGTTAAAGCGTCCGACTTCAGCCAGGTCACGATCTCGCGGTCCGTGAGTTCGAGCCCCGCGTCGGGCTCTGGGCTGATGGCTCAGAGCCTGGAGCCTGCTTCCGATTCTGTGTCTCCCTCTCTCTCTGCCCCTCCCCCGTTCATGCTCTGTCTCTCTCTGTCCCAAAAAT